GTCTGGCGAGAAAAAGAGGGGAGGTATTTTTCGGGGGGGGGGGGGGGGGGGGTGCGCTTTTGGCGGGGAGGTGTTGACAGTTGGGGGGGGAAACGTCTGTTTACTGCAGTGCTCTGAGAAAACGTGGTATGTAGTGACGGGAGCGCTTGGCGGCGTTTGCCATCGTCCAGCGATACTCTTTTTCGTGTTCCACGTATTTAATGACTTTTGTCTCAACGCCTCTCTCATCTCTCTCTCTCTCTCTCTCTCTCTCTCTCTCTCTCTCTCTCTCTCTCTCTCTCTCTCTCTGTGTGTGTGTCATTCACTGACTGTTCCCGATATTCGTGTCCTACCTCCCTCCCTCCCTCTCAGGTACCTACACGACGTTCAATGCCTCTTCCCCTTCCCTCCCCCTTTTTTATTTTTATTTTGTCAGGCACACATCTCCCAGCCTGTCCCAGGGGACATCCTCGTCTTCCTCACCGGCCAGGAGGAGATCGAGACGTGCGCCGAGATCCTCACGCAGCGCACCCGCGGGCTAGGCTCCCGCATCAAGGAGCTGCTCGTGTGCCCCATCTACGCCTCGCTCCCCTCGGACCAGCAGGCCAAGATCTTCGAGCCGACCCCGCCGGGGTCCCGCAAGGTGGGGGTTGGGTGTGGTTTGTGGCGTTCGTTTTTTTGTGCGGTAGGATGTTGGAAGATGATACCGAGCTGAGACCGGAGATGGTTTTTACAGCGAGGGCAAGACAACAACAAGGGGGCTCGGTTGCGCGTTTTTTTTTTTTTGATGGTGGAGGTGTAGTATTTGAATTGTTTTCATTTCTGCCGCGCTCAATAACAAGGCGGATGAAAAACGGAGCCCCCCCCCCCTCGACGTTTGCCATCGGGATTGGGGTTTCGTCGCATGGCAACGACGTTGTAAAACAAGCCAATTCACTTCGTGACCTCGGCAACCAGGTTACCGGGGGTTTTTTACCTCTGTTTTTTTTTTTGGCGGTAACCATAATGATGGGTCGAGTAGATCATGTTGTGCGGGGTGGAGAACCCTCACTCCGCGCAAGGGGGATGCCCCCCCCCCCCCCCGGGGTTGCCCCCCGGGGTGGGGTTTTCTCCCTTGGGAAACAAATTTTAAAAAAAGCCCCCCCCCCCCCGGGGTTTCCCCCCGGGGGTGGGGTTTCCCCCCCCGGGAACCAACTTTTAAAAAAAACCCCCCCCCCCGGGTTTGCCCCCTGAAATTGGGTTTTTTCCCTTGGCCCCCACCGTTTTAAAAAAAACCAATTACTTTCGGAAATCCGCGAACCAGGTACCCGTTTTTTTTTTTACCCCGGGGTTTTTTTTTTGGGGGGAAACCAAAAGGGGGGACAAAAAAAAATGTTTTGGCGGGGCCAAAAAACCCCCCCCCCCCCACAGGGGAAAAAACCCCCACCTTTTGTTTAAAAGGTG